CTGCGTCGTTCCCTAATAATCGGTACTATTACCCACTTTTTTAAATTTAATCGTTCATGAAGCCCCTCCCCACCAGAGAATCTTCACCTCACCTCATATGCGGACAACCCCCAACCTTGTTCCGGAAGCGCTATCGAAAAAGCATCAAACTTGAAAAATGGCTGCCTGAAAAGTCATATAACTTTTTTACTTCTCGGAAAATGAATATAAATTTTGCGTCAGATAAAGGATCAATAATCGTTTTCTTCGCCTTACAACAAAGACTTGAAAAAAAAAGTGTATTTTTAAACAATGAGCCTCTACCGTTGAGAAAATCCAAAGCTTTGCTACACAGTGCAGGTGTAGGATAGGAGTCGTGAAAGCCTTAGCAGGTACTATCTGGGGTCAGACCAAAGTAGCTCCACTTTTAACTTAGAAAGCCCTCATTAGAACCATACTACATTACGCCTCCCCCACATGGTCCCATGCCGCCAGTAAAACCTCAATAAACCACTAGTAGGTTACTCAAAATCATGCGCTCCGTGTTATGGGTGGTTTCAGCCGCATGAGTTCCACTGCCCACCAGCACAGTGAAGGTGGAGTTTCAATCTTCACAATCACAACTTTAAATTTTGCAGTTTTTTTCAGCTTACTGTTCCTATCGCCCTAAAAAATTTTCCAGACTCATTCCCTTCCCCTCGGCAAACACGTCCTTCTTTTTTGAACTGCTTCAAAGAAGAAATCACTGAACTTTTTAACTGCTGAAATACCCTCCTGGAGAATTTCATGACCATGACAAAGTCTCCTCCTTTGTTTATAAATACTTTCACCCTTTTTGAAAGAAAACTAAACGAGGCAAGTAACTTGACACCTTTGAAGAAACCCTCTCCAGAATTACCCGCTGTAAGCTCTCCCAAACCCGGTCTGGAAATGGCCGGCTTTAAACACTTGCTTTTTCCGACAAGACAGCACCCTTTCCCCTCTATGCCTAACAAGCTCCCTTGCACCCCATACTACTTGCCACTTTCAAATTTCCCCTAACTACTTACTCCTGCAGACATGTGGCTCCGGCCGGTGGATGCCGCGAAGTTCTTCGACCTAGAGAAGGACGAGCCCAACCCCTACCGGGCTAGAAAAACAACCACATATGGAGATCTGGATAGCCTTTAAGAAATGTTATATCAAAGAATATAATTTTACGGAAGACTTCGACCGAAATTGAGCTGAAAAACCCAATTGACAAAGCGGTGAACTTTAAATTAGGAGTTGCGAAGGCGCGTTTGAATCGATCAGGTGGATCATACATGTATCCTGCATGTTCGAACCAATCCGTTCCACATACGTGGACTAAATATGAGGGAAGTGTTCAAGGAGAGGTTTTTGACGCCAAAAACCATCAATTTAGGCTGGAAACGAAAGAAGTCAACGTTGGCTTCCTTGCTAATCAGCAGCAACAAGGGAAAGAGGTAGAATTCATTGTGAAGGACCTCACTTTTGCCAAAACTAAGACCGAACTTAAGGTTGAACATTGAACTCGAGTACTCGGTTGTTTATCAGAAGCACAGAAGGTAAAAACTAGAACTTGTTAAAAAAGAATGTGAACAAGTGCCCCCAATTTAATACGGCACATTGTGAGGGGCGAAATGCGCCAAATAATTCAAAACTTTTCAATATCGTCCGCAATTGTTGCCCAGGGATTGTTTGGGAGTATGGAATTTAAAACAATCGTAACCCAGAGGCGAAGCTGAGCTTCGCACCACTTGTGATACAGCAAGTAAATAATTAAAACAGCAATACACTCAAGAACTATCAAAGCGGATTTCGAAAATTATAACCGTTAGATTAATTTTTTTAAATAATTAAGTGGGTTGAATTTAAGCATTCAAAAAATTAAACAGGCGGTCAAAGTTTTAACGATATCATAAATAAAATAGGAAATTTGAAGGAAACAAAATATTCAGTAAATAAGCCGACAGAATTAAGGCCGACAGCTAATTAGCTGAAAATAAACCAAAATTGTTCGGCTAAATTTTATTGAAAAATGTACATGTACTGCCTACATAGTATCGACTGTAGGTACTGAAATCATGGTGGTATACACAAATCGGAAACCAAACCGATAGCTAAACCAAAAAATCATGAATAAAAAACCAATAACTATACATATAACAAATCTGTCAAAATGAATAAAGATAGTTTTGAAATGCCAAGGCAACATAATGCAAAATTAGCATCAGAACAAAACTTACCGAGCGGTAACAAAACAGAAAAAACCTCAGCAGAACCCCTTTATGCAGAAAAAAATCAAAACAACCTCTTAAAAAAATTGAGTCCCCCTTTCCCTCAGAACACACAAGCAACACAAAAATTTTTCTCGGATATCAAACGATTCAATAAAGGGCCACTAAGTAGATATAAAATCAGCTGAAACCGATTGAGTCGAAAAAAATTACAGCCATTGTAAAAAGCAAATTTCGATTCGGCCGGATTTTTAAAAGCTAATAATACATTTCAAACAACTACAGTAAAAAAATTTCGCACAAAAATACGATTCTTAGACCAGGCAATAAAGCCGACAAAACATAAGGAGACAAATGATAGGCCGAAATTTTTTTGAACCTGAAATTTTACCATTTGAAAAAAATAGGTCCTGGTCAAATTCGAACCCAGGAACTTCACCTTCCAGGCATATGCTTTACCTCCAATATAAGTGTACAAGAGACAGTCAGAAAACTGAATTCGGTATAAACCTATGCATCACCAGGAGTCAATGAGTTAACAGTCTAATATTCGATTGCAATACCCTTGCTTATCACATGGGTAAAAAAATCAGGACATGGGAAAATCGGACGCGACTTAGTGACAAAAATGTGAGAAGCTGTGACAACTAAAAATGACAGCTTGGATTACGTGCAACACGAGTGGTATACTGCGCTTGAATCAGTGTCTGCTGCAACAGTAGTGAAATACTGCGCGGAGCTTTGCATCACTTGGGATATATCACAAACATTGCATGGTTGTTTTCACTTCTTAGCAATTTTCAACCCGTGCGCAAAATGACGTCGAAAAACGAGCTTTGGAAAAAATCAAAATTTGAACTACAAAAACTGCAAACAGAAAAATTGAAAAGTATCAAGATAGTCAACGAAATTGAAAAAAAATTGTGCTTCAAACAAAGCCAACAGACGGTTGTAAACGCGTCAAAGAACAAGAAACCAACCAACAATTTTCACGAATTGAAGAAAAAAAAACGACGTTAAACCTCTTGGATTTTGAGAATTACAGTCTCCTGAGCATTTTATGATTTACACTTTTATGGACGGCTTACCGAAGTAGTGAAAACTGGGACATCTAAAAATTGAAATCCACTTTCGAAACTAAAATCATTCATGCTTTTACATCATCTGCACTTTGGTTCATTGCGAGCAAAATTTGCCTTCCTTTAGTCATATGTATTTGAATTGAACCTTAAAAAAAGAAATCAATAAACGAACCGCAAAAAATTTCGCCTAAACTCAGATTATTCGTAAACTTTACACAGAGCGAAACTTCGCATCAGTTGCCATACAACACAAAGAGAAATGAACAATGTTGAAAAAAAAAGGTCTACCAAAATTTCCGTACGTCTCGATAAAAGCTTTATCTAGGCGAACTATTTGAATATAAGATAATTGAAGTAAAAGAACAAACTTATGCAGCGGAAACACAGCCAACAATCTTGGCGCAGGCATGAAATGTGCCGAAAAAATTGACTCTGTAAACAAGTTTTTAGTCCTCCTAAAACTACAGTCAACAGAACTTGCAACTATAATGAAAAAAAAACTTTCAGCAAAATAAAAATCTATGATGTGGCAACTAAGCCGAAACAAACAAGATGCAACTGGCACTCGAACCTCAAACTTTAGGGTGCAAAAGCGACTAAATGACCTCTGGACCAAGTGAGAACGAGCCTAGAAGTTGTCAAGGTTCAACACACGCGAAGCTGCCCTCCGCACACACAAGGAAAGCGACAAAAAATTAGTTGTAAAAAGTGAAATTAGAAAAGAATAGGTAAAAATAGCCCTGAAAATTTGAACGTTTACTCTGGCGGATTCGAACCTACAGCCAGGAGATTAAAAGCCGAACATCTTTGCATCTGCGCAACGGGCCCTTGAAAATTTACTAACCTTAGCCACTAATAAAACAGCTACATTTCCTAATTAATTGCCAATGCAACGCAGCAAAATTATATATAAGTCATGTATTTAAAAAAAATGCGAGGTATGTAGAGTTTGAACACTTCTGAAATCGAGTTTTAATAGTTGTACTAATGTTTGAAACAAAAAAATAGCTCTTTTGCGGTTCAATTGATGAATTAAAATTGTATTAACAGTGTCAACTTATTACTAATCGAATGTCAAAGCACATGCAATCAAAAAGCCATAAGGATGTCACCAAAAGTGGCACCAATATTTTCGACTTAAGTTGAAAAAAATTATAGTCGTTCTTACACCACGCTTGCATGTGTAATAACAAAGCAAGTAAGAAAAACCAGTTAGATTTGTAAGAAAAACTGTTTACGGAAAAAGTCTAATTCCCGATTACAAGACACTTGCTCTCGCAAGGCTAAGCATCGAATTTAAGCCACATATTTAATTCGAACAAACTTTTATTTTTAACGAAGTGAGAAAATGCGGAGTGATCAGATACATATTGCTCAAATTAAATTTAATAAGAATTAATTTTATAATCGCAAGGGTAAATAATATTTAAGTTACATCCATGCACCTTTTTTTATAACAGCTTTCGTAAGCCTGATTGTGAGTAAACCTTTCAAAAAGTGACATTAGCAGCCTAGAGAAATGTGACATCTCTTAATTTTGAGTCATAGTGGGCAGTGAACCTTAAAATGTACGCTCTATACAGCATTAAAACTATGCTGCTACAGAAACGAGCATTTCAATGTCACTGAAAAATAAACTTGTCTAATTGCAATAAACAAAGGAAAGCAGTTAAGAAGTTTAAATTTTAAAGAAAAAACGAAAAGCTGTAAATTTGAATTAACAATTTAGCAATTGCAAAAGTGTCTAAAATATCTATTTGAATTACATCAAAACGGTGCGTTCATCAAGTCCAGAGAGTCCGTGATAATCAAACTTTTTCGTGCCTCAAATAATGCGGCCATAAATTAATCCAGCACGGGTCAAAACCATAAAAAAATAAAGTTGGCATCCTTTTAATTTTTGTCTTCAACGTAATTGATCTTCGCAGGGCAGAACTAAATTTAAATCATAATTTAATAGCCGGTTCTTCTAATAAATATCAATTCGGGCCAAGCGCTATGCGTCTGCTATTTCTAGATACATAGAACCGCCTCCCGTTTCCTTCTCGTCCAGCGTTTCCAGAGGCGAATTATAAATGGGAAAGTCGATTCCTCCCAGTCTCGAGCGAGCTCTGAAAGATGCTGAGAAGCCTTTTTTGTTCAAGGTATCATCCGTATTAAATACTACAAGCAGAGAGTTGCGGCTGCTGATAATAGGCGCATCTGGGCCTTTGTCGCCACAGACGGTCGCTTTATGACTCGAGGGTTCCATAAGTTCACCTTCATATACGACGACCATGTCATACTTGCATTGCTCCTCCCATTCGATTTCAACGTGTTCGAATTGGAACTCAACGTAGTAATCTGCAGGAGCGACTATCGTCCATTCGCAATTCTCCCCACTATGGTAGTTTGTATCGCCGTAGGAGGCATGTGAAACTAAGCGCTGAGGAGTTTCAGTAGCCACAAGACGCCCACCACAGAGGATAAAATACTCGGCCTAAATATAACTTCAACTCATTAATGTAATTAATTCTTTAATAAATTTTCTTCGTAAAAAAATCATTGTGCTTCTTCTGGAGAAAAGCGCAACAATTATACAACCAATGTTTCTTAACCACACAAATTCCAAAGTTCGACCATAACAGTTTTGCATAGATCTTGACTATAAAACTTAAGACTGAAGAGACTTCTGCGCATTATTTCGCATTATAAATCGCACAAAACTCAAATGAACTTAAAACTAACACTAGCCTATTTTACTTAAACCAGAATAGAAGGCATTTTTATACCAGGAAATAGCTTGTTTTCATATAAATTGAAACCATTTTTCACTTATCAGCTAAACAAAACTTGAGTTCCGTTCCAAGATCAAAGAGAATATTCCGTCACGATTATTGAAATTAAGTCAAATAGCGAAAACATACTTTCATTTTTTACAATAGAGTTACGGGACTAAAACGAAATAAATTGTTCCATCATTAACAGCTGCAAATTAAAAAACAAGAAATATCACCTTAAATCCTCTAGTCGCCACTGTTTGATCGGACCAAAACTGCACTGTCATTATGTTGCTGTATGATATTTTGGGACTCTCCAACCTGGTGTTCATTTCACCGCAGAACTTCCCGAGCACAGGGCCGTTTTCGTTGTCGGGCCCATCAGTTAACAACACATAGTCGAACGAGCAGTCTTCCTTCGTTTCCAAGGAGAAATCGATAAACCGCAATGAAACTCGGTGACCTAAACAAAAAATGATGCTGCCAAAACTTAAAGGCAGATTTAACAAAAACACCCATTTAGCTAAAAGCAGAATTGAGAAACGTTGGCTGAATCCAGATGATGATATTTACATTGGCAAAGCATGAACGCCAAAAGCAACTTTTTTATGCTTGAAATGACTTAGACATAAATTCGACCGGTGCATAAAAGCCTGGAGTAAAAATGCTCAGACAAATTTCATGAATTATTTAAGACATTACCAATAGCTCCGGGAAGAAATTATGCATATCTCCCTTCACGCAGTACTTAAAACCCAATAAGAAATTCAAGATAAAATCTTTTTTTTTGTTTAGATGACTGATCGGATGATTCCGAGCTACTGTCAGAGCAGCTGTCTTTTATACAGCTGTTATGAAGAGACCATATAAACTATGGCCGCACCTTAGCCCTTAGCTTTCCTTCAGCTTCGTCAACAGTTTGCCCTCCGTTTCACACTAAATTTGACGAATTACAACCGAGCTTCACTCAACAAAAAACGCTCCAAAAAAGCATGTAGAAAACTGCATTTAACTTCAAATTGAACTTTACACAGAGGCGAAGTTGCACTTCGCATACACAAGCAAAAATATGACCGATAACGCTACTGGGAAAAACTGAATGGGTGAAACTTAGTCTTAAAATTTTCTCAAGTGACGCACGCCAATTATGACGCATTAGCAGTACCAGTCAATTTGAAAAAAAAAATTTACCAACTAACATGCCTCAATTTATAGAGCATCCTATAGAGCAGTAATCACATGAAAAAATTTAATGTAATTAAAATAAAAAGATTTTTTTTTTAATTTAAGATTTTTTTGTGAAATCATCTAGTAACAACTCAATTATGGCAAATAAGTTTCCTTCAACTAATTTGGAACAATTTCTATGACGGATTGAATCTCAGCTTACGCGTTAAGAGCGCGAAATATATCGAGCGTTAATTGTCCCAAATTGGCAATTTAACTCCCATAACTTTACGAAAAATAATCCCAGGTGAAGTATCGTTCCAAATTTAAGCCCAGGACAACAATACTTTTGAATGAAATGTAGAAAATCCCGTCAAAATGGCTAGTTAAAAAGACTTCTTTACAAAAATCGGAACAATAATAGTCTGTGTTAAAATCCTTAGCATTGGCTGTACTAAATAGCTGCTTATTGATCAAAATGAACAATTTGAAAAAGAACACATTTTATCGCAACAATATTTGCGTCGCAACAATCTTTGCGACTTAGGTTGGAAAAAAATGATAGTTATACTGTAACACAAGCATTGCTTGTGTACAAACAAAGGCGCCGCAGAACTTTAAATCATTTGCGATACATTATCATAGCATGGCGTGCTAGCCGAAAAAAAAAGGGCCGCAAGTCACGTCTCAAAAAACTTATTTTCATTTGTTTCAAAATAAATTCAGTTAGACACAGAGGCGAAGCGGAGCTTCGGATCACTTGCGATATAACTCAAGCCCAATATTTCAATTTAGGGGATAGAAAATGAGAGGGAAATATTTAAATCGAAAAACAAAACGTTTTTTTTTTGGGGAGAAAATTAAAATAATTTCAGAAAAACCGTCGAAAAAAAACAACAAACAGTATTAAATAAGCTTTGAGAATTTCCCGAGCGGCCGCTACGCCAACAACAAGTCAGCAGACACCCGTTGAGCCAAAAACAAAAAATAAAAGAGTAAGAACGCAAGTAAACACAGAAAAAACACTGACTTTCTTGAAAAACTTTCGAGTTTCAAAGAAAAAAATAGATGCCCTTTAAGCTCTTCGAATTTCTAGAACAATTTATAATTGGCGCTTTTTTGATAACATGAACCCAACTAGAGACAAAAAATGCATCTGTAGGTGAAGTCTTTATTCCACTGGAAAAATTAATTCACCACTTCTGAAACTAGAAATCGTTCATATTTTTTGCGCCATTTCCACGTTTGTATTAAGAGAGTTCTATTTACGTCACTTTCAGCAGATGAATTTCAATTGAACTCAAAAAACGCATTATACCTAATTTAACGACTATTTCCTGGAAAACAAATCAGCAAGACGTACATAAGAGTCTTTACTACGTTCATTACTTTTAAAAAAAATTGTCATACGAAATAAGTGTCATTAAAAAAATTGAGCCATTAAGCTATGAAACAGTGAAATCTTGCAACAAAAAAAAACCTGAATTTTGTCTTGGAATGAGATAACTAAGCCCACAGCACTAAAAAATTCCCGAATGTGGCATCTAAACCGACAAACATAAGCAGACAAACGAAATTCAAGACAAATTAAACACTTGGGTAGACGCAAGGTTGAGACAGAAAAATGATCTCCTAAAAACCTGAGAACAATAAATCCTGAACGCGAAGTTTAGAAGTCTCCCTCACAGTGAAAATTTTTTTAGTCAAACAAATATCACATTCTGAGGCTACTAGACCAACATATGCCGAAACAATCTTTAACTGAAAACAAAAATGAAAATAAAACAAAATCGGAGTTACTGTAAATCTAAGCAAAAAAAAATAAATTTCGAAACCGAGTCAACAGAAAGTTGTGAAACTATTTGAACTCAACAAAAACAAAAATCGAGGAGAGTATTTTACATACTTCGAATTTTGACATTTGGTATATCAAGTGAAAATACGGAGGGCTGCGTTTTGCAGTTTTTGTTTGGAAGTTTTGATAGCCGTATGCGCCCACGCTGGGATGCTGTATATGAGTAGCAGTTTGATTATGGTCTTATGCCTCATTCATTGTTTTATTTTAGAGGCTTAGGTTTGTTTCAGTGGGTGGACTTATTGAGGAAAACATTTAAATTGAGTCGGAGGATTTTAGCGAGGTGGTAATGTGCTAGAAGCATGTTCTGCATTTTGACTATTTGTAGTGTGTATGTATTAGTCTCTGGAGTTCTACTGGAAGGTTAGCAGCGCACTTTGAAGGCGAGAGTTCCAGGTCGAGGAAAAAAAACAAATAACATTATGATTTTTTCGTTCAAAAACTTAACCTCGAGCTCCCCCTTTAAAATGCGCGGTCACTCTTCTACCTCGTTTCGAGAGACTAAACAATAAACAACCACCAGTCAAAATGTCAAATCCGCCTCGAGCAACCGACCACCACCCCAAATTCTGCATACTTAAGTTAAGTACCCTCTTCAAGCACGGGAAGTCGTCAGGATAATATATGATGATTGTCATTTTTGTGATTGTCATGATTCAATTACAGAAGTTAAGTAATGTGAGGGCGATGACTGATCTCTGAGTGAAACCAACACGGATTATTCTGGCTGTAAATTTTGGCTTATACGCTCCTTCAACGGAATTCGACCCAAAAACAACCAGTATATCTCGGCAGAAAATTCCTTACCAACAACAACATTAATAGATAACGCCTTCCGTAAACAATTGACCTCTTTTAAGACTCTCATAAAACCTGTAAATTGATCCGAACCATGAAAAGGAGTACCAAACGGTTCACTTTAAAAAACGCTCCCCATTTTTAGGCTGACCGGCGCCTAGCCTAGCCTGCTACTAGCCTTCGTTAGTGGGTAAATTGAACAGAGGCCAAGCTGCGCTTCGCACCACTTGCGATACAAATATGAATGATTATGATTAAAATCATATAGAAAATAATGAAAAAAACTTCAAAAAATTGTTGTTGTCAATAAAAAAAATTGCAAAAAAGCTCAAAATATCCGGAACGAAATTGCCTACATCATTACAAACTTTACAAATAGCTTTCGGAATGCTAGGGAAAAAACCAAAACTTCAAAACGAAAATCATTTCTCCGGAACTAAGCCGACAAAAATAAGCAGACCAACAATAAACTAAAGAAGCCGAAAACTTTGTTTGCAAAAAACCAGGTCTTGCTGAAATCGAATTCCCGGGCTTTGTCGTCAAACATGGGTGCTAAAGAAACATAGGAAAAAGCTGAACCATCAAAAACATTGGGCTACGGAAACAAAGCCGACAAAAATAAACAGACGAACGATAGTTCGAAAAAGCACTTAATTTCAAGCTCGCAAAAAAGGGCCCGACCGGATTCGAATCACAGCCTTTTTCCGTCTCAAGCAGATGTGTATCTCTACGCAAGATGCGCCGGAACGGTTGATTAAATTTGAATTTACAAATATTGCAACCCTACAACGAAGCCTCTTTAGCATGTAAGCGAGGGTTCATTTTTTGAGCAAAATTTTAAAGTTAAAAAGTAATCGAGGTAAGTTTTAGTCTCGAAGTTGCTAAGGTTCACTACACAGACGAAACTGCGCTTCGCAAACACATGCGAGAACACGACCAAAAAGCAGGTCTATCAAATGCAAAAAGAGAACATAAAATTAAGCCTCGAATTAGCAAAAACTCGGCTATGTGTAGGATTCGAATCTGCGATCAAGAGATTTTGAGTCTCGCGCACTATTCACTCAGCCACACAAGCTTAAAAAACGACAAACACTAGTCACGAATAAAGCTACATACGCTAAAAAATTGCCAATGCGATTCTACAAAAGTGGCACCAAATACAAATAGACACAATTTTGCAGGTAATAATTTGGAATATAACCAATTGAAGGCATCCACAATAACTTCGCATGCAACAAATTGCAAAGCATAAAGCCACATTATGTATAAATTATGCATTTTAAAAAATTGCAGGATATCTTGAGTTAGAAAAATCTGAAATCGAGTTTTCATTATTTTTATGTTGCTTGAAACAAATCAGTTTAGTCGGTTCATTTGATGAATTAAAAACGCATCAATTGTGTTAACTTATTACTATTCGAACGTCAAAGCACATGCTAACAAAAGGCTAAAAAGGTGCCCCAAAAGTAGCACTTGCGAGTTAGGTTGAAAAAAAAAAAGATGGTTCGTACTAATACACTCGCTTCGCAAGTGCAAAGAAAGCTGAACATTCAAAAAAAGTCGGGCTACGGGAGATAAGCCGACAAAAATAAACAGACGGACGATAGCCCGAAAACGCGCAAAAAACTCCTGTTTGCAAAAAATACCCGACCAGATTCAAACCGCAACTCTTTGCTTTCCGAAGCAGTTGTGTTACCTCAACGCGAGACGCTCCGTATAGTTGATTGAATTTGAGTTTATGCTTACCGAGCGGTAAAGAAGCCAAAAATACCGGAGCAGAAACCTTTCATGCCGAAAAAAATATCAAAAAATACTTAACTAACACCCACAAAAATTTGTTTGATCCACACAAGACAATAAGAGGCAACTAAGCCGGTATAAATGAAGCCAAAATTTATTAAGTCGAAAAAAAGTAAAATATGACAAAAATGAAATCAAGTTGGTAAAATTACAACCGATAAATTTCGATTCAGTCGGATGTTTTAAATGCTAAACCACCTAATTGAAGCAACCACAAGGAAAATTGTTTACAGCAAAAAAAACCGATTCTTAGATTTGGCAACTAAGTCGAAAAAAATAAGCAGATGAATAATAGGCCGAAATTTTTGAGCCGGAATACTTACTGTTGGAAAAGAGTCAATGAACTCAAGGAAGCAAAGAAATGGAGACTTGTTTTTTTTTAAACTTCAATTTTCGAGTTCTGAAGAAAAAAAAAGATGCCCTTTTTCAAGAACAATTTATGAATGAAAAACTTTTGACACAGAGGCGAAGCTGCGCTTTGCACTCCTTGCGATACAAAACCAGAAAGCCGCATGGTCGAAAAGAAAAACAAAAAAATCGAAAATATCGCAATATAATTTGAAAAACGAATCGGAAAGAAAATTTACCAAGCGGTAAAAAAGCCCCGAGAATACCTTAGCAGAAACCCTTTAAGCCGAAGAAAAAATCAACAAGACTTAAAACCATGAAAAAATTGAGCTATTTTTCTATAAAGATTTTAGCAATTCAAGCAATCCAATGAGCATTAAAACAACTATGTTTACCTCGAAAGTTTTTAAGCGAAAAAAAACATACGTAGTCAAGAAATTACAAACAGCCGAAAGCAATCAAACACGGGGCAGCTAAAATGAGAAAAGCGTACAGATTAAACGATGTGGCAACTAAGATGACAAAACAAGCAGACAAACAATAAGCCGACAACTTTTCAGGAAACAGGATATTTCCCATTGCAAAAAAAAGGTCCTGTCAGTTGCGAACCCAGGACCTATTCCGATTCAAACATATTCGTTACTTCTACGCCAAGTGTGCCGGACGCAAAGAAATTCGAATTCAATATGGAGTGAACCTAAATTTACCATTTTTAAGTTTTGACCATTCTGTAAACAAACTTAATTATTTACAGGGGAAAAATGTCTAGTACTCGATTGGAATACTCTTGCTTATCGCAAGCGTAAACATACCAAAGAACAAATTGAACAATAATAAAGAGCTCCAAAAAAAATCGAAAAACAATGATTTTTTCGCGAAATTTTCAATTTTTGATATTCAAGTAAAATTTTGAGGCAACTAAGCAGATATTACATCAGCCGAAACCGCGTAAATCAAAAACTTAACGGGAAACAAAATGCAAGAACCAATAGAAATAAAATTAAAAGCTAAATTACAAGCAACATATAAATATACATTGACCAGACATTCCATTAGAACAGATGTCAACTGCCGGCCAAAAATGTCAAATGAGTTTGCTAAACTAATTTTAAACACAAAACGCTGAATTCCAATTTGATAAAGCTTGCTATTCGCAAGCCTAGAGAAACTAAAAGTCAAACCACAAAACGAATGAGCGCAGATAACTTTTGAGATTTTTCACGCCACTGAATTTAACTTCGGTAATAGAAACTTACATAATAGCTTATTCGAGCGTTTTTTGCCAAAAAAAACTGAGTGACTAAGTTCAGTTTTTTACTGGATTTTAGTGCTTTAATAAGCTTCAAAATTAGCCAACGCTTAACCTCTAGCTAAAAAATCTACCACCTCTAAAATCAATGAATGATGTTTCAAGGTAGAAATCAAAAATTTGAGAATATTTGTTCAATTTTAGAATTTGCTCAATTAGAGTTTCTAAAAAATTGCAATTTGAGAGTTTCTACCCAATTCATCAAGTAGTCGGCGCAAAGTTTTTCCCTTTTAAATATTCCTCTGAAATGATTATTGAAAACAACTGGTGCTAATGATTTTAGCTTAAGTAACTGAAGAGTTTATTTACAGGCAAAGGCGAAGCACAACTGTCAATAAATCAAGAATCTGCGAATTACCCTTTTTTGTGCAAAAAAACTTGGGCGTAGCCGCTAGACAGAAAAGAAACACAATCTTTTGATGAGAGTGAACGCAAAAACTCAAGATTTTAGAGGGTAGTTTTCGAGAGAGGTCAAATAGTTTCAAAAGACGGTACAACAAACCAATTAATGACTTTTCCGAGGGCCACAACTTTTGCGTAATAAAAAAATGGGCTTAGTGGATTATGCAGGGGAGCTTTCCACAACCTGTTGTTCTGATTAAACCCAAAACCTCAGATTTGGTTAGTTTTTGAAAAAAGTCAAAATTTCGAAAAACGCTCAAAAATGAAAAATTTACTTTTCCGAGGGTCATTACTTTTTGTAAAAAAAAAACATTTGGGGCGCAGACGCACATGCACAAATTTTTCACATGCCGTTTTGCGGTACCGTTTTCACTTACCGTTTTTTTACCTCAGATTTAGGAGGGGATTTTTTGAGAAAACGAAAAAAATCCAAAAATATGGGTCAAACAATCCCCCACAGACTTTTTTGAAGGCTGTAGACAGTAAGGTAAAGTAAAAAGATTTCAGAAGATTATGCAGGCCCGCGCAGTGGAATATGAAAACCCTATCCAATACCTTTTCATGATGATTGATTTTAACAAACAGAAATTTAGGCCGTCGAAATAACACAATATAAATTGACTAAGCCGGTACAACATCAGTCGAAACCTTTTAGTCGACAAAAAAAATTATTCAAAATCAGACAAATTAAAATGTCAAATTATACAAATTTCAATTATTCTGAAAAAATTTAGTATCAAAATAAAATCCATGCTTCAAAAATTAGGCTAATAAAACTAGTACCAGATAATTTAAATGATATTTAAAAAGAAACAGAAAATAAACCGACGGAAACTAGGCCGAACACCACGAACCCGAGAAAAACATTGGGTAACCGCTGAGCACAAAAGAAAATAAACGAGTCATGGCTGCTAAAATTACAAAATGTAGTAGTAAATAAAAAACCTTCATCTTTTGAATTTCGAAGAAAAAAATAGATACCTTAAAACTCTTTGAACTTGTAGAACAATTTAAATTGAACACTTTTTCGTTAAAATTAAAGCAAATTGAGAAAATTGGATCAATAGTTGAAACTTTTATTTCACTGGGAAATCTGATAACTAATTTCCAATTTCAAAATTAGAAGTCGATCATGTTTTTCGTACCCTCTACACTTTTGCTGTTCAAAAGTGGAGTTTGCTTTCCTCTTAACAATGGAAATACAATGAATTTAAAAGTAAATCACAAGTCAAACTGCCAAACATTAAAATTGAGCCTGAACAATTTTAAAAAAAATTTTTCCTGAAAAAAAAATCACCAAGTTTTATATAAAAGTACGTTCATTACTCTTGAACATAAACTTAAACATAACAAGCAAATACAACGAAAAGTTCTATGAAAAGATGTGGCAATTAAGTCGACAAAACATAAGCAGTTAAATATTAAGTCGACTTTTTTTTGAAACGAAGAACATCCAGTTTGAAAAAACACAGGTCTTGGCCAGATTCAAACCCATGACCATTGCTATCCCAAGCGTATACGTTGCCTCCAGACTAAGCGTACCGGAGACGCTTAGAAATTTGAATTCATTATGAACCAAGTTACCAAGCGAGTCTGTAAAGCAAGTTGTTAACCCGAAAAAAGTCTATATTTCGATTTGATAACGCGTGTTAATCGCAAGCGTAATTAAATTTACGCTATTTGAAAAAACTGGATCAATAGGTAACTTTTTTATTACGCTGGGAAATCTGAAACTTAAATTCAACTTTCGTAGCTGATGTCGATCACGTTTTCTGTGACCTTTACCTTTTAGCGGTTCGATAGTGGAGTTTGCCATCCTCTAACAAACGAAATAAATTAAATTTAAAAAAAAACGAGCTATAATAGTCTCAACTACAATTATCATCTCATGAAAAAATATCACGGCCTATAAAATAGTCTGAACTATGTTCATCGAATCTTAAAGTTAAAACTGGAACAAAAAAAAGAACTACCGAATTGGACTGTTTACTAGAGGCGAAGAACAACTGTTTACTTGAACAAAAAAAAGTCGCAGAGAAGGCCATTGATACCATAGTTCACCTCGTTTTAATTTGGAACAATTTCTAAACCAGATCAAACATCTGCGTTAATCAAGTCACAAAAAAACATTATCTAAATAATGTGAAAAATCACTCCGTTCAATTAAAAGAAAACCAGTTCTCACTTTTCTCAATGCAAATCAAATACATTCATCATCATTAAAGGGTCTTCACTTCATTCAAAAACAATCTCAAAAATTCAATGAGTGATAGACCAGGCTAAAATTGAATTTACCTGGCGCTGTTGTGATCCTCCAAATACATTGTTTTTGCTTCGGATATTCTTCTGGATAGCCCGGAGTTTGTATAATGCCTGGTTTTTCAGTCAGGTTGAAATGACATTCGGATTCCTTACAAGATTTTTTGTCTTCATGGAGAATAAAGCCTTCGTTGCAGGAACATATAAATCCTCCTTTTGTATTTCGGCATGTATGTTGACAGCCTCCATTTTGAACACTGCACTCATCGTAGTCAACAAAATATGTCAACTGAAATCCCTGAAATGAAAAAGCACCAATTGTTGAAACTTTTCATATTTCATACAAGGGCTCTGCACTAATAAATGGCAATCAATGGAGTTGAAATCTCAATGTGAAAGGAAAAAAAAACAATTTCAAAACACAGGCGAAGTAAAATCAGTTGTCGATGATCAATTAATAATTTGAAAAAAGAACAGGAAACAACCCAAATGGTAATGTACAGTGCAAGTTACTAGGCAGGATGGCCGAGCGGTCTGAGGCGCCATACTCAAGAAAAATTCTCTCTCAAGATTTCTGGTACACGATTGTGCGCGTGGGTTGAATTCACACTCCTGTCAGATGTTTTTAAGAAATGCGAAGTATCTCATGAATTTAAATCAAAGCAAAATCAAAAAGGTTTTTGGTTTTCAAAGTCGAGCGTTATCAGGACCCGACTTGAGAGCTCTCGATTGAAACTTTTGTAACATAAGAAGGTGCGTGGGTTCAAAACCTAACCCCTGTCAGATGTTTATAATCCTTCTGAAGTATCTCATGAACTAAAAACAATGCAAAATCAAAAATATTTTTGTTTTTGAAAGTCCAGCGGTCTAAACAAACCGACTTAAGAGCTCTCGATCAAAATTTTTGTTACAACAGAGTGTGCTTGGTTTCAAAATCTACCCCTGTCAGAACAGAAAAACCAAAATGATGCATCTCAGGAAATGCAATTTTTTGCATTGACAAAGCTAATTTTCGATGATCAATTAATAACTTTAGAAAAGAAATTCCAAAATTTTGAAACAATATGTCAAAACAAATTACGTATTTGAATCATTCAAAATGGCAAAAACAACAGCAAACAACCCAAATGGTAATGTACAGTGCAAATTACAAGGCAGGATGGCCGAGCGGTCTAGGGCGCCAGACTCAAGAAAAAATCTCTCTGGAGATTTCTGGTACACGATTGTGCGCGTGGGTTGAAATTCTACTCCTGTCAGATGTTCTTAAGAATTGCGAAGTATCTGATGAAAAAAATGCAATGCAAAATCATAAAACATTTTTGCTTTTGAAAGCCGAGCGGTACAAGGACCCGATTTGAGAGCTCTCGATTGAAACTTTTGTAACACCAGAAAGTGCTTGGGTTCAAACCTACCCCTATCAAAACAAAACAATCAAAATGATGCATTTGGACACATATGCAGATTATCTGAGGCAGGTGGAGCCACGCACTGAGTCAAGAGCTGTGCGAGCACTACTAACAACGGGTGGCCCTCGCATAAAGAAGCTTCATGGGCGCTACGTGGAAGTCTATGGACCGTATCAAGTGATGCTGAACGTAGATGGAATCAGTATCTACACTAGGACATATGTAACAACAGACAGTGACCAGATAGGGCAGATCTATTTGGGTGAGGAGGAACTCAAAGTCCGCAGGATAGGCCATGACGGAGCAAAACGCAGTACACATTGGATACGAAGCAGATGTGACTGCACATCTGCTCGACACCAACGAAAAAAAGTCGGAGTCACAGGGTTTCTGGACACAGGAGCGGCAGTGAGTGTGATGCCAATAAAATCTTGGGAAAGAATGGGCTTCACGAGGGAAGATCTAATTCCGACGAATCTCCGACTGGCTGCAGCCAATCGAGGAGCGATTTACGTAGCCGGAAAAACACCGATAACAGTTCTCCACATAAGGGGAACGGGATCTTTGGATGAGCTTCCTGGTAGTAGAGAATTGGGACGATACCGACCAATTCATCTTGGGCAGAGATTTTGTCAGGAATTTTAACGTGATGATTGACTTGAACAACGGTCTAATAAGGATTAGAAACCCGGATCGGAAGTATGTTAAGAAACCAATTAATAGAAAAATAACAGACGAAAACAAGGTATCAATTTTTTAGATAGAAAAGTAAAACTACAGCCAGGGCAGGCTGTGGTGGCAAGTTTTAGAATGAGGAATTTGAATTCGTTAAGTGATAGTAAACAGGTTTGTTTGGTACCGAATCCAAGTAGTCAAAGTTCGGTGATTTTAGGCCGAAGCTTCTCGGTAAATCGAAACGTACTGTGTGGAAAGAAACATGTTTACGCTTTGCCGATGAGGACCGACTATGAAGAGACACAAAACTTGAAGAAACATAGTGTGAAAGACTGTCCTTATCATGCCAATAAAGATAAAATTTTAAAAAGGATTAATGAAGTAAAATCTATTCATAAAATGTTTTCAATGAAGTCCGAAACGGACGACGGCTTATCGAGCTGCTCGAATTTTCTGGAACGCCCCTCGTCATATGAACTAGAGTCTGACAAACCCGTTTTGCCAGAGATAGAACACTTAAAAGGGAAAATAGGCGAAGGAGATATTGAATTACTGCGGGAGGTTTTAAATCGGAGCGCGGATGTATTTTCAAAACATAAGGCTGATATCGGTTGCTGTAACTTCGTCGAATACAAAATCGAACTTGAAGAAGGCGCCGTTCCCCACAGAGAAGGCGCAAGACAGATGACGCCACATAAGTCGGAAGCGTGCCGAGCGGAGATTGAAATGTTGCTCGAATACGACATAATAGAACCCTCGAAATCGCCCTGGGTATGCGGGCTGGTAATGGCGAAAAAGAAAGGGGGCAGCTTAGGTTTTGTTGCGACTTTCGCTACTTGAACGCGGTGACAATAAAAGATGCGTACCCGATACCGTGAATAGACGAGAGCTTCTCTAAACTTGGTGATGCGAAGTTCTTCACCACACTGGACTTGGGTTCTGCCTTCTGGCAGGTCCCTCTGCGGAAGAAGGATAATGAAAAGACCGGATTCGCGTGTGAATTGGGGTTGTACCAGTGGAAGAGGATGCCCTTTGGCTTGTGAAACGAAACGGCCACTTTTCAAAGACTGATGGCTCCGGCGTTGGCCAGAGTGACAAAGAAGTATGGGAATCTTGTGATGTGTTACGTGGATGACGTAGTCATAGCAACACCGACCCTGGAAGACCACATTGATCGGCTCGATGAGGTCTTTGGATGCGTGAAAAGAGCAGGCTTGAAATGCAAACCATCGAAATGTGAAATCCTTAGAATTTCGATCAAGTACCTAGTAAGAATGGTGGACAGGCATGGCGTGAGGCCGGACGCGGAAGCAGTAGAGGCTGTGTTGACATGGAAGGCTCCGAAAACAGATACACAACTCATGAGCTTCCTAGGGTTTGCCAATTATTACCGTGAGTTCATAAAAGGATATGCAGACAAGGTGTATCCAATGCAGAGGCTGATGCGCAACAAAGGAAAGAAGTTCGAATGGAAGGATGAAGCACAAGTTGCTTCCGAGAACATAAAGCGGGAACTGTATGAAGCGCCAGTGCTAGGCATGCCTACAGAAAAAGGCATGTATGTTCTTGACACAGACGCATTGGTAGTAGCCATCTCGGGAATATTGCATCAGGAGCAGGAATGGAATGGAATGGAAGAACGGTTCTCCGTCCCATTGCATATGGCAGCAAGGTGTTGAGTGACACTGAGATGAAATATGGTGCACCAAAAGCAGAAATGTTTGCAGTAGTCACATTCGTGGAAAAATACCGCGCATACTTGGGGAGCGCTTCCTTTAGGTTAGGCGTGGAGAACAGGGCGTTATCCTGGTTGAAGGCATACTCGATGGATCAGAGTTATATTGGTAGGTGGATAGTAAGATTAGATGGCTACCACATGATAATTGAGCACAGGATGCGTGAGAGACACCAGAATGCTGACAGCCTCAGCAAGAAAAACGAGTTCCATTAAAGATTGGAACAGAAGCAAGCCAATCAGGCAGAAATAAAGGAAGGATTCTCGTTTCTGGACAAAGAAACTTAAGAAGCGCTTCCCTTAACGAGATGATTGGACAAGTCTGGACATCCAATTCCAGGAAATCCTGAGTTACCTGTAGAGAAAGCTGCCGAGATAAAGATCCTATCCAAGAAGGACCCGGTGCCCTTGGATCTGTTGCTGCGCTCAAACCTGGTCCAGCAGGTACTCTCTCGCATGAACATAAACAGCCTCTCATTATTAGATAAAACGGTGCAGATCACACCACAAGTGATGCGGATGCTGGGTGGATTGTTAGAGAGAGAAGTGACCAGAGATGACCCCGAGTGGGCAGCAGCATTGAAGGTGAAGATCATGCCGTCCAGACGACAACACAAAGAAAACGAGAGGGATTGTAGGACAATAGTTCAGCAACTAGTATCCTCAATACCCCACGAGGTTTTAACCAAAACTTCATACGGTCGGAAAGAACAGGGGAACGATACGCAAAAGAAAACCGGGGAGTCTGTTTGTCCGGGGAGTCTGATGTAGATGAAAAAGTTCCCGATGAGAAACAGGACCTGGAGAATAAAGTTTTGTCCGGTGAGTTCAGATGGATGCGAAGAAGGCACAGAACTGATCTGGAGGAGGGGACGTGCTCTATCGCAGACTCTTCAATGGATGACAACTCCCGGAACTCAGGAATCGGCACTTACTCAGACAGGATCTCGAGCTCAGGATCGGAACTGTCAGAGCGGGCGATCCACACACTGCTAGTTGTCGATGACAAAGTTAGTTGTCGATGATCAATTATTAATTTGAAAAATGAAATTCCCAAAAATTGAAGCAATATGTCAAAACAAATTACATATTTGAACCGTTCAAAATGGCAAAACAACAGCAAACAACCCAAACGGTAATGTACAGTACAATTTACAAGGCAGGATGGCCGAGCGGTCTAAGGCGCCAGACTCAAGAAAACTTCTCGCTCGAGATTTCTGGTACACGAATGTGTGCGTGGGTTCAAATCCCACTCCTGTCAGAAGTTTTTAAGCATTGTGAAGTATCTCATGAATTAAAAAAACGCAAAATCAAAAACAGTTTTGCTTTTGAAAGTCGAGCGATAAAAGGACCCGACTTGAGAGCTCTCGATCGAAAATTTTGTTACACCAGAATGTGCTTGGGTTCAAAAGCTACCTCTGTAAGAACACAAAAATCAATTGATGCATCTCATGAAATGCTGCACTTTTTTTGCATTGACAA